TCTCTCTCTCTCTCTCTCTCTCTCTCTCTCTCTCTCTAGCCCGCGTTGGCTGCACGGGCATCCTATTCCCTCCTTGCCCGAACCAAATAACATCAAGCACTGCTGTCTTATTCCGAGCACAACACACCCTAATTTTTGAATGTACACAACCTATAGTGTTGGTCCTATACAGTCAAATCCAAGGTGCATTGCATTTGGATGATGGCATTTGCTCCACTTGTTACCCTGGTTTAGTCCAGCCGTACCCTGGTTGAGTCCAGCCGTATTTCGAGCCCAATCCAGCCTGTTGTTGACTCTTTGCGCGTTGCCAAACCGGAACTTTCCCCCTTTATTTTCACGGCCCCACCTAGAATTTCCCCCCCCTTATTTTCACAGCCCCACCTTAAATTCCCCCCCGCTCTTATTTTCACGGCCCCACCTAAAATTGCACGTTGCCAAACCGGAACTTCCACAGGGGCTTGGGGCCACAGGACCACAATGGCCGGCGGCACCAGCCAAAAAAGGAAATTTAAAGCAGTGCGGCGTGCGCTGCTGGTGCTCCAGAGAAGCTTAGCGCACAGTGCAGCGCCTCCAGGCCTGGTTGTACTGGTGGTTTAAACGACCGGTTCACACAAGCCTACGTTGACGAAGCTGCCTTCCAAGACTCGCGAGTCTGCCACCTTGCCTTTTCAACATGGCCTCCCCCTTTCGCTACAGTGACCGCCCCACCCCCGAAGCCAAGTGCTCTTACTGCTTATACCCCTAAGAGCACTACTTAGGCTCTTTATAGGGCTCCAGGACATCTCAACTGGGGGTTTAGGGGAGTTGGGGGAAACCCAAATTAACTAAACCACCAGTACTTGGTCCAGCTATTGGCTGTGGAAAAAAATAGAGTAGAAACGTTTCTAGTCGGATGAAGTTCGGCGCTCCTGTAGTGACCGATACATTTCCTTAAATTGTGGCTTGCTAATGGGCACGACTTCAGGAAGTACTTGTGGTTGAAGGGGGTGCGAGGGGAGGCAAAAGGTCCCCCTTTTTGAAATAGGTACCCCTCTCTTCATGATCTGAACCTGCATGTTGTCGAATCTCTAGGTTCACAATCTCATTTGCCAAACCCAACTTAAACCACAAGTTACAAGTACCCTTGCCATATGTCGGCCAACCGGGGGGTTACCGGGAAAAATAGAGTAGAAGCGTTTCTAGTCGGATGAATTTGGGCGCTCTCGTAGTGGCCCGTACGTTCATCATTGTCGCGGCTTGTTGACTGCCTCGACTTTCTGAGGTACAGGTGGTTTAAGTAGAAAACGTTGAGATGGACCAAGGCATGCGATGATGCGAGTGAACACAAAACTTCCACCTTTAATATTTTCGCGCGGAAACTCTTCAAATGCCTAGTAGGCTTTCTATCATGCTATCATTCTGCTTCCAAGCCTCACACCCCTCAGGCTGAAAAAAAAAGAGGAAAAAAGTTATGCTATTGAACAGCTGTTCTGCTTTGAAGTGTCACAGAGGGAATTCTTCTTGTCGGCATCGGCGTTGTCATTGTCCGTGAGCCGTAGGATGTGGCGCTTCGCACATGTCTCTCCTAAGTTTTGACATGCGCCCAAGTTCTGTGAGAGACGAACGAAGATGAATAGTGAGGACTGATAGCCGAGAACAAGTCCACTGGAGAAGATCGGCATTTCGTGTTTGTCGCATGACCTTGGAATCGCAATGTGTGTGTACTGTCCTCGCGCCAGGGTTAAAACAGATACAAAACAACTGAGAACCTTGTCAGGGCGCGGAGGGGCAAAAATCCTCATTGGATGCAAAGAGCAGGCAGACAGAAAGACCATGGCAGTGCAAATTGTGGCCGATCCCAGATTGGTCTCCCCGGCCGCAATCGGAGATGATGTTCGCACCTCAGGTACAGCTTCTCTTGGGGTCCAGTGGCCCCTTTTTTCTCACAAAGGGGCAAGTTCGGTTATGTCACAAACGAGTTTCGAAAGGGCAAGAAAAACATGCGCCGGCAACAAGGTCAGGCGCCGAGTTAAAAAAGGCAACAAAATCATCACAGCGGCTCACAAAAAGCACGGATGTTATAACTACAGTGTCGGGCCATGGGGTGGCACACAGCCCAGGTCCAAAAACGGCAAAAATCAATTAGTACCTCTCTTTTCACCGAAATTGCCCTTCCAACTCGGCGCCTGATTTTGTTGCCCGCGCATGTTATTCTTGCCCTTTTGGAACACAAAACGTGACGCAACCGCACTTGTTTCTTTTGCAAATGTTCGAATAGACCACTCCGGAACGGATGAACTAAAGATGTACTCGCACTAGGACATTTTTGGCTGAACCCTAGGCGAAATTGTGATCAGATATATCCAGGAGCAGGCACTAAACCGACCGCCAGTACATGGCCCCTGCCTTGCTTCAAACATTTGGTCACCTGCTTCAAACAATTTGGTGCCCCAGGCCTTCCGGATCACAATTATGGCTGGCCGTGGCAACCAAAAGAGCAAAGAAGTGGGCGGCTGGCTGGCAGTTGGGCAAAGCTTGGTATGCAGTGGAGCGCCTTCAGACCCCAGTGTAGTGGTGGTTTATTGCACCCAGATGCATGATCCAGGAAATTCCTACTGCATGACATTGTGGGCCCTAAGAATGGCCCCTAAGAATGTGTGAACTTGGCAAAAAGTGGCCCCTATTTGTTGCCTTTTTTTGAGCTTGGCGAAGTGGTCGGTTAAACCACCAGTACTTCCTAAAGGGGTTATATGTCACAAGCTTTTGTCGCCTTTTTGAACTTAGTTGGCAAAGTGGTCGATTTGTTGCAAGTGCACTTGCTCTCTCAAGCTTTTGCTGCCTTTTTGAACTTGGCAAAGTGGTCCATTAAACCACCAGTACTTCCTAAAGTTGTGCCCGTTAACAAGCCATGATTTTAGGAAATGTACGGGCCACTACAGGAGCGCCCAAATTCATCCGACTAGAAACATTTCTACTCTAATTTTTCCCACGGCCCATAGCTGGGCCAAGTACTGGTTGTTTAACAATCATCAGATCTGAAGCTCCGGGTCATCTCACTCTGGGTAAGCCGCGAGAAAGGCCAAGACCACCACCGTAATCCACCGCGTTCCCATGAGATGAGTGAAAGAATGAAGTTGATTGGGATAAAGTGAGGCAAGCGATACAGCATCGGATGAGAGAAAGCCACTGTTTCTTGACCGGAGAGATGGAACGGTCCCATTACCGTCTTCTTCTTGAGGTCCCGTAGAAGTCCTGGCAGGAGAGCCAACTGCAGCAGCATTGTAGGCTTGGATGACCACTCTCTCCGGTGGGCAGTGGTAATGAGTGCTGCACATGAAGTATTGAGGCTGCTTTGTGACGTTGACGCGTACGCCAGGATTGCGGACGTCTGGGGGAGCGATCTCGGCTGCTTCGTCAGGATCACAGTGGTCAAACCGGTCCAAATCCAGAACCTGAACCAGGTCATGCACCTCCATCTCATCAGGCGTGGTAGCATTCCACTTGAATATCACCACATCTCCCTCCTCAAGGCGGGTGTTCTTTGTCCATTCGTCCAAATTGGATGATGGGGACCACATGGTGGTCCCACCCACCACAACCTCCCTTCCGGCTGCGTGGAAGGCGAGCAGTTGTAGAGCGACGAGAAACAGCAAGATCGTAGTCGCACCGAGCACGGCGGCACTAGTACCATGCCTGGTTGACGGTGCCATTGCCGCCGCTCCATACATTCACATAGTACGACCACCATGCAGAGAGATCTTTGACGAACAAACTCAGCTGGCCCGAAGATGAAGATCTACGCCCGTGTAACCGAGCAAGCAGGCGACTGCAACCAGTCGCTGCACCTGTCGACAGCGCCTGTGGCTCTGCAGGTCAGTGACTGTGCATCTCCATACCTGACTGAAAGATGAAGGGACACCAGAACTCCCCAGGGCCTGCCGTATTGTGACCTGAGCGTCCTGGCACATCAGGAGCAGCAGCAGCAGCAGCAGCAGCAGGAGCTACTGCTGTGCCTGCAGCATTCCACGCCATTCAAAACATGCGTGACGGCCTGCAAAGGGCTCCTGTTGCATCCGCCGCCACTGGCCTCAATATCCAGGTCAACTTGGTCAACCAAAAATAGCACTCTCTCCTGCATAATCGGGGTCTACGAGCCCAATTTTTTTTTTTTTCGTTACCCCACCAGCTTTTCTTTCCTTTTCTTTTCTCTACCCTTTCGTATCATTTGCTCAACAAAATCGCCTGGTCAAGATTGCGCCAGCAGAGCAGAGCAGCTGTAGCAAAAGCTGCATCTTCAACGTACCACTGCAAGAAGCTACTACCTTGCACCCACGCATGCACCAAGAACCTTGCACACCCCCTTCAGCATCCTCGTCACATCAAGCTGGGGATTGAAACAATGTTATTGACTGCGAGAAATATTCAATCACCAGTCAGTACCTTTCCCATATATCGGCCGTGGGCAGAAAAAAGAGGCCCGAAACGGAAAACGGGCCGCTGATGAACTTTATCAATGGCGCCCCGATCCGGCTTGGCTTCCGAATATACCGCCGCTTAACTGATTCTCCAGGAGGGGGAAAGGTACTGGTGGTTTAATACCAGTTTTTTCAATCCTGCAGCAGCAGGAGGAGGAGGAGGAGATCCTGTTTTGTTTCCTTCCATTCATAGCATTAGCTTCGGGTTGACCCATGTGCCAGCAGGAGCTGAAGCGTCCAAAGTCGAACTCGCACGTATGACGTCTGACGTCACATGGAACAAACGACGATGGAGTGGCAGCTGCTGCAGCCCATGCATCTGAAGTCAGATGTGCGCTGCCCATAGCGTCATCCCTGGCATCAAAAGGCAATGCATTGCTGCTGGCCACAACCCCTTCTCATCACACAAGCGACCAGCGCAACTCAGTCTGCGCACTTCGGACCGCAAGAGCACCGCCTAACCGTGATCTGCGAAGAAAGCTCAATCAAGGAAGGGGCCATCAAACAAAACATACTGCAGTCAACGGGCTGTGCATGGTCATCGCCGGGACCGCAAGAGGCCCATGCCCTGGGACTTTGATGAGGTACCATAACCTATGGTCCCATGGAACTCCCACAGAAAAAGAGCTGCCACCAAATTGAGGTCAGCCTGGTCAGGCAGTTTGTGGGACAGGTCCTGAAGCTGGGGTAAACAGATCTTTGACGTCGTACAATGTTTTAGGCCTCCACATCGCAGGGTAGACGGCACATCGGGAAATGATAATGATAAGATACCCGTCACTGGCGAATACTACCTGTCAGATGTCTAAACAGTGTTCTTTGCCAGACATCCAACCAGGTGATTCAAGCATTGCAGGCCCAATAGCAATTACCAGCCCAGCACCAAGGTCCCAGGTGGGGGTACCAGACTGGTTCCACTGTTACTCAAAGTTGCGGCCCACAGCGCTTCCGGCTTTGAAAGGTCACCTGTAATCCAGATCGTATCCATCCGATTGCATTAGCAAGAATTGAATTCCCAGTCTGCTTCTTAACAGGTTCATGTGTGTGTCATTCTTCTTTTCTTGTCTTTCTTTTTTTTCACTCACATCTGATGGGTAATGCACAGCCACATTAGCACCATACTTTCTTTTTTCTTTGTTTGTCAAACGCTAATTACTAATTAGTAATTACTAACTAGTAATTTGCCCAATCAATTCAATAATATTATGGCGTCGAATATGACAAGATGGCCTTCTGGCCTTATTATGGCAATGATTAAACCACCAGTACCTTTCTCAGCTATCACCTCCGACCCTGGAGCTACCGGTAAGGCTCGAGCCTTACCGAGCCTAGAGCTACTGGTAGAACCACAAGTTTCCTGTTTTTGCAAATATGCAAAAAAAAAAAAAGAGAGAGAAAAAAAAACGAGAAAAAGGAAAAACACAAACAATCGAAATACTTGTAAAAAAAAAAAGCCAAGTCCGTTCTGCTTGACAACACGGGGGGRGGGGGGGGGGGGAGAGAGAGAGCTGTTCCTCTTCGCCCATTCAGTAGAGAAGGTAAGTGCATTCACCAGGGTCCTTAGTGCTCAATGTGGCACAGCCTTGGCCAAATTGGCCACAGCTCCGAGAGCGACATCCAGGGGGGGGGTAGCCCCCGAGGTCTTCCTCACAGATCATAGCATATCCAGTGGCCCCTAGTACAAGCTCATTGCTCGTGGCCTGGTCCCACAGCCTCTTCACCGTAGTCGTCAAAACTGCCTTCTTTACGCACTTCGCCGAGTGCGAACGATGCGTAGTCCTGCATCGTTTGGAAAAGAAGCTTCCTGTCTTCATGGAATGAGTATGTGTTCGTAGTGCTTGCCATGGTATGTAATGCAGCTGCAGAGGTGAATTACACTGCAGATCATCATAACTGTCCTCCCACAAAATGTCGCGTCACCCCGCAGTCGTCCTTGCGCACTATTTCCAGGTTCTTGTCGTAGTGCGCAAGGACGACTGCGGGGGGGGGGCGTGGCATTTTGTGGGAGGTGACTTACAGCGGGGCGACGTGGCGAGGTGACGTACAGCTTGGTATGCAATGCAGCTTGAACAGGTTCTCCGGGTATGCTTTGCTGTTCCCCTGCTCAGCGATTCCGGAGATTACGGTGATGTCGTCCACACCATAATTCGCCAGCCACCGATCAACCTCCTGTCAGCGCCAAGCTCTTTGATGAACCGCAGGCAGTTCCGCCATCGCACTTGTGATTGAGGGCAGAATTGGACTCGCAGATTTCCCCATGGGGATGCCGAATATCTGCCTCAGCACTTTCGAGCCACATCTCACCACTGAATGCCGCAGGTCGAACTTTTACTCCTTCGAGAATCGTTTTCAAAGTCAGGCTGATGTAACCATCCATCTTCCTTCTGTTGTCGCTGATGATACACATCTTCCCTCTCAGAGATACCCTCACCTGCCTGCAGCCTTTGTCCTCGTAGATTCTCAGCAAGAGGTGTACCGCCTGGGTCACGGCATGGCGCGGAATGCGGGAGAACATTTCCTTGATGTCATAATATCTCCCAACCGCTGATCGCATCCAGCCGCTTTCAAACGCTGAGTGGTAGGAGAGTATATACTCATTCAACATAAGCGGCGATGTGCAAACACAGTCTAGCCAAGAATGGATTGTGGAAAAGACAGAAGAGAGGGAGAGCGGGGAGAAGAACGAAAATTTAAAGAGATAATAGACACCGATAACAAATCCTCCGAGCGCAATCAGCTCGTGTAATCTTCAATGATAGCTGATAGGTAAACAAAAGATGGCACGAAGGCCATGGCACGAAGTCCTCAGCTGGCGATTACCCCCGTGTTTCGGCCGGTCCGCCAGTATACCGGCCATCGTCAGGGGTTGCGCTGGTTGACAATATAGAAAGGAGAGCTATCTTATATACTACCATCGTACTAGGTCTAAAAGGGACATCTGCAAAATCCAAACAAACAGTACTGGGCCCGGCTGACCCGATCCACCAAAATTGTCAAAGGGTCCATAACGACTGGTTCATGGTCCAATCCAAGAGGTCCAGCCGGTGAAACATTGAACCCATTCCGACCAGACCCGTCCCACCTTAGTGTTGAACACTGTCAAGGCTTTGTGAAAATAGAATCTGGAAAGTTCCTCCGGCGGAGCGCGACCTTCAGGGTGAAAAGATGGGAGGCTTCGGTGGCGGGTAATGTGCCCATGTCATACGCTTTATGCAGAAATGAAAAAATCACCACTGCTTTCTGTTTCTTGCTGCAAAAGGAATCAAAATTCTGGAGATTTTGAAAGGTGATATTACCCCTGCCAATAAGACTTTCTTGATTTGTAAGCATGGGCTGACAGTATGCTTTGACTGGTTGCTGTCCTATCCGAATGTAACATCCCAAATACGGTCAGTCAAGCCCCTCACTGGTTTTTTCCAGTACCAGATGCTTATCATAGCAACTCTCCTGGAATCTGGCAAGTATCCCTTCTGCCTTAGTTATGGATCCTACGTCATTTCTCTTACACCTAATGAAAATTGAAACATCATCCACTAACCTACATCCTCATACCAACTTAGCATCGTTGCCCACGCTCTGCAGGAACATGTATTCACTGTGCGCACACATCAGGCAGGCGAGGGCAGTACTTGAAGATTTGCCCATTGGAATTCCTAGTTTCTGTCTGATCACGGTGTCCATAGCCATGGTGAAAGTATTCCTCAAATGAAATGCGAAGAATATAATCAAGGTGGAGAATTTTACAGACTTATATAGCCTATGTTACTCACTGCGACCTTGCATAATCTCACCTGCTTCTTTATTGCGTGAATCAAACACTTGTAGTATCCTTTCTCCTCAAAAAGGCTGACCGCCCATTCAATTGCACCCATGATCGCAGAGTGTGGTAGAGAGCAGAGCATTTCCTTTACATCAAAACTCCCTGCCAACAACGCATCACTGTCCTCAATGCCCCAGTTGACTGTTCGTAGGAAAGAGGGCAGCAGATGCATGCTGCGAAGTTTAAAGTGGCTGTATGATGGCAATCTCCTCGGAAACTCGTTTTCGCAAGTAGAGCTAATGCTAGCGGCTCGTCTCGAAGGTTCAGACCACGATGGGCAAATAGGCCTCCACTTATAAGTATCTTTGTGCTTCGGTATTACATAAGATCTACCTTATCTACCTTTCCCTACCCGCGGAGCCAAACGGTTAAACTTCTCTGCCTTGTAGCCTTGCCTACACCTAGCCAGAATCATAGCTTCATCATCGCTTTCAATTGCATCCCCGGATTACTAGTGAATAACTTCGCTAATCCTTGCGATTACACAATCGGACAACAAGCATGCGTATCCCCCGTGTTGTGATCGAACGGACAAAGTACAAGACCTTCAAACATTTTCTTATACCCAATTACTTTGTCAATCTTGATGCATCTTCGTTCGTCAGATGTAAGTGAAATGCAATCCT